TTTTTTTATAGGCCTGAAAAATATATTAGCTTGCACTTACAAAACAATGCGTACTCGATCAATAATAAGTTTAAAAAAATGATAATAATTATAGAAATAGTAACATTAATTGAAATAATCGGACAAATATCTCAAAGATAATGCTACGTAAGATTTAACGTATTATATGGTAAGAACGTCTAATTACTTGGCTAACTCTAGTTTTTTGGCCTATTTACTGTGACACTTTTTCGAAAAAAACTTTCAAAAAAAAACTTTTGTAGATATTTTCCGTATACTTCCCACTCAAACAAGTATTCACTAAATACACACCTACAAATACACAGATCCTAGAACGCTGCATAGCTCATCAATCTAACCATATTCTTGAGTCCCAAAAATCCCATTCCATACGCCAAATCTCGCTTTCTCTCCTAACATTGCACCAAACAGTTTAAGGCCTTAAAAGCTCCAACGCGCCCTTTAACAAACACCGGGAGTTGAAAAGAGTCCCAGTCATCCATATTCTTAATAGTGTCACGAGGTACATCTATAATCCAACACGTGTATAAAACGATGGTCTCAATGTAAGGAAAAAAAAAAAAAAAAACTTTGACAGTGCAAATCAGAAAGCAGATAATTGAGTATGCAAGCTGTACATGACATATACTATATGTGTAAGCCGCAGCGAAAAACAATCAAGTGCGACACATTCATTTCGGTGCGGATGGAGATTTCTCTCTTTGCTTTTAACGGAGTCTTCTGCATCGCAACTGACGAACCGGAGACCTCTTGTTCTCAATGAAATCCTTGCCATCCGACTCCATCGAGTGGCGAAAGTTTACTTTTCTTCTTTCAAGCCGTGTGTGTATTTAGTACAGGCATATCTATTATCTTCGACTGATTCCCCTTTCTACCACCTAATCTCATCAGAATTTAAGATAACATTGTTGGTCTTGAAAAAGTAGGTTGCTAACGATCGTTTAAACAATCAACGGTGAACCTATTACTCTTCTCCGATATTCGGGAAGTCAGTGCTGTTGTCACTCAAGTAAGCCCCTCGAAGGATCCATCGGATATTTAACGAAAATGTACATCTTTTGCCCGCAAACGTGTTTTTAAATCATTATTGGAATGGCTGGCACGCGTCACTTTGGTACCAGCGAAGAGGCATCGCGTCAAGGCCAAGCCAGAAATCGTAAGAAACCTGATCCTAACAAAAACAACACGCATGATGTAAAGTTATTTTTAATGCAGAATGTGGATGAAAAAAAAAACATTTTTTCCAGAATATTCCAATAAAAAACGTAATTTTTTTAAAACGTACGTAGGAATTCGTTGTCCAGTTGTTTTGACGAATCGTTACATTCGTCGATTTCTTTTTTGAATAATTGACCAACATTTTTTTTATGTTTATTCAAATTGATGCTTGAAAATTCGAGTATCTATAACAAGACAAATCGCGCGCAGGTACACTATCAGCATTTTCCAAGATCGACAACGATTCTTTGGACGAAACACAAAACAGACAGTGTCCAGACACCCATCAGACTTGCACGCGCCAATCGCAAGGAGCACGTATGGAAAAAAAAAAAAAAAAAAAAAAAAAAAAAAAAAAAAAAAAAAAAAAAAAAAAAAAAA